GTAATAGTAATATTAGTATGAATATTGTTATTAGGTTTCAACATCATTCACAAAGATTGATTTTTATTCGCGTCCAACCCATACGCACCCAAACCGTATAGCCATTTCTATATACTTTAAGAAATGGTGGTAAGATCACAATAAGTTACGAATATTCTCACCTTTATCCATCTTATTGATGCCCAGGCTTTTAGCAATAAAAAAAAGGTTAAAAAAGGAAGAAAAAGAAATATGGAAGACGATTCACTAGTGTGATGTATATTCAATTGCATTTTTTTTTCTCCAATAGTCAATGCATATACACTTTGTGATTGAATAGCAGTCGAAGTAGATTGGGCTTCCATCCCGTAATACTCAAGAGAGTTGATACATAAAAATGCAACTACTGGGTCTGTTGTAGAGAGAGGTACATGTGTATTTCACAACGTTACCATTATCCGGCATCCAAGTCCATCTGAAAACCGGCATTTCAAATGCTGATTTTCAAGGTAACATCGTATGTCTTCCCCAAACTTGGGTAACAGCCAATCTTCCTAACCGCCAATTGGCCTTGGGTCGGACAAAATCAAATACAGCTTGTATTTCCTGGGTACCCAATTAAAAAGCGGCAAATTTATTTTTTGAGAAAATATACCAGCTCTAATTGGTCCATCTCACTGGCTTTCTAAAAGTCTAGATTTTAATGTTATGAATTATTTTATCTGGAGTATACTCCTAACTCACTTGCAAAACCGCCATCGTGATATCCGTCGCTATTGATTCATTGAACTGGAACTTAAGTGAATTTTGATATGAAATTCCTCTTGACACTATCCCCCAAAATACTACCCGCTGGTTACCACGCTTATAACTTTGTGCTGAACATTACGGCAAACATTTCCAACATTTATCATAATTGCTCAGTTTTGCATGAATTAGGAAAATTAAATTAATTTATTTCTGAATTTATCGCTTTTTTACTGGGGACCAAGTACATTCTATGGGACAGGAGAAAAAAAAAGGTATGTAATACGACGGGGTGTTAAAATATTCTAATTTAATATACGCAGTCCAAATATAGGACGAAACGGCCGTCCAGTGCTTTCTGCATTCTGTTGAGGTTTCTTCGAGACTCGATGAATTATTATAATTATTATAATTATAGTTTCAATTCTCGGTAGTGGCTACGCACTGCTGATGAGTCACAAATATAGGACGAAACGGCTTTCCAGTGCATTTTGTTGAGGTTTCTTCCAGAGTCGATGAATTACTTAATTATAATTATCTCAAATCCTCCTAATTTCTATCACTTGTATATCCTTGCTTTAAACCGGCTTCTAATGCTCTGGATGAAGCGGCTTGGGGAGAGTAGTCGCGGCTCGTGGGGGCACGGTCCTATGGGTAAGGGAAACTCGCATGAATTCCACCACGGAATCGAGAAGCGGTATATCGAGTCAAATTCACTACCTCTGCGTCACCGAATCCCGTTGGTACAGTTGGTATGATTTTTAAATGTCTGGGTTTCAATTCTCGGTGGCGGATGTGCACTGCTGATGAGTCTCAAATATAGGACGAAACGGCCGTCCAGTACTTTCTGCATTCTGTTGAGGTTTCTTCCAGACTAGATGAATTACTTCATTATATATATATTTTAATAACTCCTTGCTTAGATCGAGAATTTTTGCATGAGTCCCCACGTACTGAACCTGCTTTGATAAACAAGTACATTGTGCATTTCGCAGTCTACATCTATAATTATCAGAATGTGTGTCTGTATGTATGTGTGATCGGATATTGTTTATGTTTTTCCACAGTTTTCGTCTGATTTCGATGAATTTGGTTTGTTTGATAGATAATTCTTCAGTGCCGGTTTTGAGACCAAATTGGTTGGAAAAAATTACAACCTTGAAGGTGAAAAATCGAAAAATACTGATATTTTACACTTTGCGTAAAAATCAAAGGCAAAATTTAATGTCTGTAAAAAACAGCGTACAATCAATTTAGGGAGTTGTAATCTAACGCAAAACATTATTAGAATAATAAAAAAATAATATAAATAAATAAAAAATTATTGTATATTATTGTTATGACGGTCAATGTAAGAGGTTCCTTCCATACAAGATTGAGAACGCAAAATCGACCTTTTTCAGGGCCACCCACCTCATTCAAATTTTCAACACCCCCATTTGGGGATGTACCTCAGTTGCACCCGATTTTTGTTACTAATATTGATTTTCAGGTGGGGTGACTTTAAACTTAAACTGCTCCAACTGAAGGGCAAAAATTCCCAGTAATGAAAGACCCTGTCGAAGACGGGTTATACTGCTAGTAATCAACAAAAACAGATTCGCGATAACCCCCGAGTTGACATAAAATCTTACTAAAAAAAACTAGGTATCTTTCAATGTATCTATCCGCATACACATTCATACATTCAGACTTCGTTTTCTGTTTTTCTTCCATAGAGACATTAGATTCTTTGTAGAGTATAGTGTTACCAAGCTTGAGTCCCGATTTTTGTAGAAAGTAGCTTTTTAGAGAGTGGAGTTGCTACTCCAATGCCCAAACACAATAGGAGACACAAAAGCCATTCCAGCTAGAGGATTATTGAATGAGGCTGTTACATGAGAAGAGCAAATTATAAGGATATGTAGGAAAGATAACAATTTAATTTTAGACATGAACGGTTTAAGAATGTAGTAACCGCGGAAGCATCCTCTCGGGGGACAGTTCCACACAGTAACAGTTCTCGGAAAGAAGACCCCCGAAGGGAGCTTTCTTCTTATTAATGGGTTGCGAAGGGGATCGGTATGATTTTGTCCCAGTGTACGCGACATGGCGGATTTTAGATGTGAAAGTCTGAACTGGTGGAATGAAAGTGTACAGGACTGAACATTTGCCATCAGCTTGTAAAGTAGAAAATAATCAAGCACCCACACCGCCGTGTAAACGCTTTGGGACTCTGTCAAAGACGGATGTAGAACCGGCATTCCAATTTTATAGTCTCTTCTTAATTCTTCTTATAGAGGAGAGTATAACAGCAGGAGTCATCCCCCCCTGTTTTTCTCTACCTCTTTTCTAGAGGTACAAATTTGTATTATTTTGTCGATTACTCTCCTTAAAATTGTTTTTCGTCTTCTTATATTCTTTCACGCTCAGTAAACCTCTTGCTTCTTACTTGCTTGGGGTGAAATTATTTAAAAAGAATGTAAACTATTAAACTGCTCTTCTTTCTTTATCTTTGAGGAGATTGTTACAAGTTTACAGTTGAGCTCTCGCTAGATGTAACCGTAAATTCTATGCTAACACTTTCTTTTATCGCAATTCTCGCTCGTGGAACTCACTTTCGGTTCCATGCTTTCCAGCCAACTGTAATCTGCGAAAAATCAAATGCACCGTCAATCGCTATCTGCTATCCTTCTGATTACTCTTCTTTAACAATGTTTCTGTTTCCAACTCTTCTCCGCCGAGTATTCCCTTGTGTCTCTGTGGCTTTAATATCTTGCTTGGGGTGAACTCGATTAAAAAAAAATCGAGAGGATGCTTCCGCGGTTACTACGTTCTAAGCCCGTTCATTAAATGTTATCTTTCCTACATATCCTTATAATCTGACGCCATAGATTCTCAAGTAGGCATCTACGCGGACGACGCTACAATTTACTCCTGCCTCAAAAACAAATCTAGTGTCGCTGACAAAACTAACCTGGCCGTGCGTCTCGAAAAGGACCTCCAATCGTTTGTGAACTGGGGTAGGAATTAGCTGGTTAACTTTAACGCCTCAAAAACAAAACTGCTCTCTATTAATCACCACATAGATCCTTCCCTGCTCCCCATTAGAATGTCTGACGCTCAACTTCTCGAGAGTTCCTCTTTGCGACTACTCGGTCTCACATTGTCTGCTGACCTAAGATGGAACAAATACATTGAGTCAATTGCTTCGTCCACCGTGAAGAAAGTTGGCTCTCTGTGTCGCGCCAGGAAATTTTTCTCCCCGGAATCAATCCTTCAAATCTACAAATCAACCATTTGCCCTTGCATGGAGTATTGCTGCCATATATGGTCTGAGGCACCTTCTGTTTGTCTCGGGGCTCTTGATAAGATCCAGAGACGGATATGCAATATAATTGGCCCTGACCTGGCATCTCGTCTACAATCACGCTCTCACAGACGTGCCGTCGCCTCTCTCTGTCTTTTTACAAATACTTTCATGGTAATTGCTCCGAGGAGCTGCATTCGCTGTCTCCCCAGACTTCATGAATTCAAGCGCCCCACGAGGCTGGCATCCCGCTCTCACCCTTTCACTGTTGAAACTGTTAAATGTAGCCGTCTCTTCTACTCCAATAGCTTCATATCTCGCACCTCTCGCCTGTGGAACACCCTTCTCAATTACTGTTTCCCTGGTAGCTATAATCTCCCACTATTCAAATGTAATGTCAATAGACATCTCCAGTTGCCTTGATCTATACACTATCCTTCTCCTCATCCTTTTCTCTATCACTCCTATCTGCTCTCGCTCCAAATCCTATGTAACCTCTTGCATGCTAGTGGCTTCCCGCCTTGATTGGGGTGAAATGCTTAAAAAAATGGCACTTCTTACGTAACAGCCTCATTCAATTAAAAAAAAAAGATCTTTATATATTAGTTAACACTAGGATTGCCAGCTCCTTTGATATATCTAAATGGCCAAGATGTCATTTTCGTTTTTTAATATTTAGCATGAAAAATAATCATATATGGTTAATGAAATTACTCATATGTTTGCAATACATAGTTTATTAAAGAATATTACTATTACACAACATTAGACATCATTTTGAAGTAGGCTATAACATTCTTTCTACAATCCTGTAGGACCAACTATTTAGCAATATCTTAGATTCCACAATATTTACATTTTACTAACAGTACCCTAGTTTCATCCTTTGCACATTTGCCACAAGTAGGTTTTTTGCATACTTGGTAAACAGTAATCGTAGCATTTGAACATTTTCTACCATGAAATTTGCGACGTTTCTTAGGTAATGAAGAACTTGTGGAGAGCACCTCTGCAGGATTCGGTAAGCTTCGCTTCTGAACATAAGCGTGCCTAAGACTTTCAATGAGCTTCAAAATGAAATCCTTCCTACTAATTGATCTCCCTGATGCAAGTTTGTATATACTCCATGCATTTATAAATGCCATATCCATATATATATATAAATTATGTGTGTGTGTGTATAGATAGATAAATAGATATATAGTGGACGTAAACACAAGTATTATTGCTTGTGAGAAAATTTTCAATGCATTTGCCCTATAAATAGCCTAGGTGTCAATAACGACACCTCAGCCATTCAAGGTAAAACCTCAAATATCAGCTATTCCACTGAATATATTTTAAAGAATCAAGTCTGTTAATCATCTTTGCTAAAATTCAATAATTGTCCATAAGCCTCAGCATCGAACCAAAACTAGTTACTCCATAGTAATTTGTTGAAAATTTGAAGGTGTCGAAAACGACACCTCGGCCATCCTAGTGTTAATTCTGGACAATCTTCTCAAAGATAATGAAAGAAAAGCAGTTTAACAGTTTACGTTATTTTTAATAAGCAAAGAAATAAAACTGCGAGTGTTACTGTGCGTTAAAGAATACAAGAAAACGAAAAAAAAAATGGAGAGAGAACGACAAAAGAACACAAATTAAGATGACAGAAAGCAACGGCTGGCATTGAATTTACATTTTTGAAGATAAAAAATGACCCCTTTGACCCCTCCAACTACCGCCCTCTTTGTCACCTACCGCTTTTCGACAAAGTATTCGAGATTTCATCAATGCTGAAATGGTTAATCACTTTACCTCTCACGATCTACTCTCTGACAAACAATATGGATTCCATCTTGACAGATCTACCGCTGATGTACTAACGGCCATCACTGAATCAAGCTATTGATAATAACGGCGGACAGTTTGCCGTGTTGGTCTTCTACGTAAGCTCCAGAGCTACAGTATTACTGGGCGACTGTTTGATTTAATCCAATCGTTCCTATCAAATGAAGGTCATTTTGAACGGGCTCGCTTCCTGATCTTTTCACACGAACGCGAGTGTCTCATCCTGGGACCTACGCTGTTTTTGATCTTCATCACTCATCTTTCTGATGTCATCAACTTCCAAGTAGGCATTTATTCTGATGACACTACCATTTACTCCTGTCTCAATAGCAAATCCGCCAGAGTAGACAAGGTTACCTGACCGCTGATCTTTAAAAAAAAAATGACCTACAATCTTTGCTTAACTGGGACAGGAAATGGTTTGTAAATTTTAATGCCTTCAAAACTAAACTGCTCTCATTCAAACACCATCGAGAATCTTTCCTGCCCGCCATAATCATGGCTCATGCTAGACTCATGGGAAGCAACACATTACGCCTTCTGGGCCTTACGCTTTCACCTGACTTAAAGTGGAACCTGATCTAATGCAAAGAAAGAAGGTTCTTCGCTTCAGAGTCCATCTTGCACATTTACAAATCTACCGTGCATTGAATGCTGTTGCCATATGTCGTCTGGTGCTTCCGCTATTCATCTCAAGTTTCTTGACAAAATTCAAAGAAGGATCTGCAAAATAATTGATCCTGAGTTGGCATCTTGACTTCAGTCACTTTCTAACTGACGTGAGGAGGCTTAACCTATATATTTTCTACAAATATTTTCATGGCAACTGCTCTGAAGAGCTTTTTACCTTGGTGTCTAGACGACGTGAGTTTAAGCATGCTACTAGATTGATATCTCTGCCCCGCCGTTTTACTGTTGAATGAGTTAACCGTC